ATGGCTATTATACTGTTCACCTGATCCTTTATTGTTTTACGTGTGAAATGTTATTACCATAATAGTCTGAAATAGCAATAACCTGAAAGGGAAGGTTAGCGTGGATTTTTATTAAATTTCTAAGAGTAAAGAAAAGCAGAAAAAAGGCGTTATATCAGCAAAAGAAAGAAAACTACGCCCGTTTAGAAAAAAAGTTAAACTCTAAACCATGTGTTTTGAATCAGCGCATAGGGAAAATAAATAAATATATCAATAAATAAAGTAAAGTAAAATAATTTGAAAGGTTTCAGATTTGAACGGTCGCCCAGAATGGTTGGTTAAGGTTTTTAACGCTCTCTCTGAGCTCGCAGTCTACCTATCTGCTGTTACACTCACTCCTACTAGGCCATTTTTTAAAATCTTTTTAGCTTTGTTATTATGCATCATTTTCTTCGCACTTAAGCCATATACAATTCAACAGCACAATCGTAAAAAATTTAACAGCAGCATAGCAGCATATGTTTAGAATTTCCGATGAAATGTTATACATTTTTCTTTTTCTTTTTAGTCCAAAGGGATTTGAATCCCGAATGACTATTAGTTTCGTTTTGGCATTTTGCGTCGGACTCGGTTCACTTTTCAAACTGTTGCCACAAAATGTTAGAGTCCTGCTTATATTGAAGAAATAATAAGAAAAATCTGCAAAATGTATGTATATTTCTCGTATTGTGATAAAACAACGGTAATAGAGTCATCGAATTTTGAATAACGTAATCCTCCAACGAATATGAGCATGTGGAAGACCAAATTTGAATTTGGAATTTGTTTTATTATCGATTTCATATTTTGTAACACTATAACAAGTTCTTTGATTAACAAACTCAACGATTTAAAAGCGAGCAATGGCAACATTCTACGGGGAGAAGGAAAAACCTTTTTATCTCCAGCGGCGCGGAGTCTGTGTATCGGAAATTCTAAAGATATGCTCATTTTGAAATAAACTATTTTGCAACACTGCTGTTGAACTGGATCTTACGGTTTTAAGTGCGAGGAACACGATATTTAATAAATAAAGGTAACACACAAAACATTTAAAAAAAAAAAAAAAAAAGAGCCCCTTTGGACGTAATTTTAAAATCTGAAACATTTCAGATTTTTTTTTTCCAGTATTTTTCTCAGTTTATCATTTCATTGTTCAGTTTTCTTACTAAGATAGCTTTCGAAACTTTTTTTTGTCTTTTTATTATTAATGTTGTATTTGTTTACCTTACTTATACCATGTTCTTGGCGCTTACGCCACAAATATTTACAATCACAAAATATTTAAAAACAGCATATCTAGAACTTCCGATAGACAGTCTCGTGCGCTGGAGATAAAAATGTTTCATTTCGTACAACTTTGCCATTGCTCGCTTTGAAATCGTTAAATTTGCTAACCAAACATTCGTTAAAGTTTTACAAAATATGAAGTAGATAATAAAACTAATCTGAAATCCAAAATTTAGGCTTCCAGGTGGCAAGCTCGGGTTGAGAATGACGTTATTCAAAATTTGATAGCTCTCGGTAAAGTTGTCATAGTGCGAGAACCAAGCATACATTCATGCAGATTCTTCATTGGTTAATTTCTTTAAATATAATACTTGGAGGCAACAATTTGAAGCGCACCTAAAAAAATCGGACTATGAGGAATTTTAGGAGAATTTCAGAATGCCCTGATATTTTGGGCTTTACGCATGTTTTTGTGGGCCTAGGGTATAATTAGCATCTATTTATATAGGTGTTTGTATGAAAACCAAATTTAAAATATGTTTCTTAGCTTTAGCATCATTTATTTAAATCGCTTTATTGAAAATTATTTAAAGAAACTTTTACAGCGCGGCTATGAATTTCAGGAACTGTTTGCATGAGCATATTTAACCCTTTGATACGAAAGTGATACAAATATAATTTTTTATATTGAGATTAAAAGTAAACACAGCTAATCACATTCTTTAAACCCGAGTTTTCTAAAACCGGACTTATACCAGTTGGGAATTAATGTATTTATCGATATAGCGTGCATCTGATACGATTGACCTTCGCGATTCATCTGTGTAATTGGATCAGATGAGTCTTTCACATTATAGAAAACGTTTTATTCTTCAACGACTTCCATTTTCCTCATATGTACTATATCCAATTCTTGTTGCAAATTAGCTAATTTTCTAACAAAAAAATTCAATAACTAGAAGTAAAATCATTCTAATAAATGAATAGTTTGTATTACATTTAGAAAAAATATAATAATATAATAGCCAGCATTATATTTGTTCTAAATGTAAAATACAAATTTATCCATAGAATATAATGAATGTTTCTCTAAATGATATTGAAAATAATTAGCTGATTATCCGCCCAGCCGGTATAGTGGTCCGTAGTGTAATACTTCTTTGGCGATATGAAGCAACTCCAATGATGGAACACAGCAATAACTTTTATTTAACACTCAAAAAAATGGCGACATACAAACAAGAAGAGAAAACATATTCTAACATTTAAAAATAAATTACATTCTTCGTGCGAGAGTCGCACGTGACACTCGAGTCTGGTTTCAAATATTGCCATTCACAAATAACTTAATGTTCATCTATTTAAATTATTTAAACTACAAGATTTTAATACTATTTAAAGCTGTTACAGTAGCAATGGACACAGTCTCGAATCCTGGAGAAAGCTTGTAACTCTTCGTCTCTTCATAGGAGGCAAAAATGGCCACCTATTAGGTGCTCGCATAATGACATAGCCACCTATTAGGCGCTCATTACGCCCTAAGGGCGTTTTTTAACGTTCTGTGTGTTACCTTTATTTATTAAATATCATGTTCTTTGCACTGAAACCAGAAAATACAGTTCAACAGTAATATCGCAAAATAATTTTAAAATGAGCATATCCTTTAAAATTTCTGATACACAGTCTCGCGCCCTGGAGATACATTTTTTTTATTGCTTGTTTTGAAATCGTTGAGTTTCTCAATCAAAAATTCATTAAAGTTTACAAAATATGAAATGGATAATAAAACAAATTCCAGATTCCAAGTTCGGGAATCCAGATCCCCATATTCTAGTGGGGAACAACTTATTGAAAATCTGATGTCTCTTAAGTACCGTTGTTTTTCGCAGCACGAGAAACATTCAGATATTTATGCAGATTCTTCATTCTTTAATTTATTTAAATATAATTCGGGTCTCTAATACTTGGTGGCATCAATTTGAAAAGTGAACTGTCATTTATGGTGAACCAGGGCAAAATACCAAAACGAAATAAATAGCCCTTCTTGGGCTAACGCCCTTTGGGCTAAAAATTTCAAATTAACATAAGTATCACACTAAAGTTTTCTTTTTCGGTTTGTGTATTAATCGTGATCAAACATTTTAAAGTTTCTATCTCATTGTTGTCACAAAGATGTTTAAGTTTTTTTTAATAATGCTATGTGTCTTTTATGATAATTTAATATTTAAATTAATCCCTCATCTGGGCAGCTAATTGAAATATTATCTAATTATTTGGCGCTTAAACAAATTCGTAATTTTTACATTATGCTCGATCTTCTAAAGGATCTCCAGAGTAGTCGACTCCTTGGGGCATCAATATGCCACTGAGAGCGCTCGGGAGGGGGTACGATGGAAAAAGTAAATTAAAAAAAATCACTATTAGAATAAATTACAAAATTTTAAAAATACCATTTAAAAATTAATTGAATCCTATTATATTTAGATATGAACAAAAATTGAATTATTCGGCTGCTTCCTGAAGAAGGACCAAGGAATTTGCAACTGTTTATATTTTATGTGACTTTATTACGTTTTATTTATTTTATTTGTTTTGATTTTGATTTAAATATTTCCTCTTTGAAAACTGCCGTCTTCCATGATTTAATTATTATCTCTTGATTATATATATAATAAATTTAAAACGTCTGAAGTTAAAGTAAACGGATTAAAGCAAGGCAACTCCTCTACAATAATTGTAATATTGTTGCGGAAATGCCTTGCTTCGGCTTCAATTTACTTTTAACTTTACATGCTTTAAGTTTATTTTACTTCAATCCTGCAACTATAGCGTAGAACGGGTATAAAAATTTTCTTTTTAATTTTTAGCCTCTTATTATGTTTCATGTATAGTAATTGATTAATTGTGTTTTATGTATGTTTTAAAAATGCAAATAATCGAAACGAAATCAACTATAGCTGATGAGACTGAAGCTTCTTCCTCTGCAGTAGTTCACTGAAGATATAATAAATAATAGTGTTTTCATTTTTAAAGGTTCTTTTTTTTTTTAATTTTTTTTATTAGAGATTTCTTTTGAAGGAAGTTTTTATTCCCTTCTGAATTTTGCGATATATGTTTTATTAAATCATTATTTCAACGTAATGTTGAATATAATGTTGATAATAAACTTGTCACCAAATTTATTGTAGCTTCAATTCGAAAGTGGATTTTTTTTTTGTTTGATTTTTATTAAATTTGCTATTTTCATTTCAAAAATATTTTCTTAGATTTCGACGAATGTTGAATGGACTTAAATTTTATAAAATTAGGATATGTGATCTGAAAATAATAAATATTACAAAATAAACTATCTTAAAATCGCATTAGAATTTCTTTGTCATTCTCTAATAATATTCAGGCAATTAAGATAGAAAGGGTCGGTAAAAATGTCCAGACATTCTTAAATAGACAAACTATCAAAAACATTTGAAGTTTTCTATTTTAGACGAAGGAATTTCTAAAGTTAATACTAGACAAAGCGTGACTAATTTCACCTTTACATTTAAGTCAAATTTTATGTAATAAGTTACTTTCAAAAACACTTGACTAATTATTCATTCCTTAATTAAGTCAAATTTTATGAAATAAGCACCATATGAAATTAAAAAAAAAAAAAAAAAAAAAAAACCCACTAGACAAACTATATAAGATGTAATATATTACTTTTATGCCGTTAAAATATTTTAAGAAATTAAAAATAACATTCATTTTACCTTTTCTTCGTATGTTAAGAGTTCCCATATTGGAATGGCACTAGATGAGACGCTTTGAGTGATAAGTAAAATAACGAATGCATAAACTAGAATCTTATTCATTGTCCTTGAGTGATATAACACCTCTGCCGAGAAACTTCGTTTACATACTGCTACGATTTATCAGGAATAGTCACTTAGAAATAGTTTACTTTGTATGCACAGGTGGTTGAAAGCTTGAAATAGAAGTGCAGAATAAAATTGGATATTTCTTCAATGCAGCTGGAAACTCAGGTAACTGACATTTACCAACGCAATTCCACAAGAACACGAGTGTGCGTCCTTTATATAGTTTATTTATCAGAGGAGGTACGTGCAGAGGGTCAGATGAAAAACTTCATCTCTGAAACGGATGGTCGGAAAAACCAAACTGTCTCTTCCCTACCTCTCTCTCATACCTGAGAAACAGGGTTGCCACAACAAGATGCTATATTTTAGTGCTTCATCGCTTCTTTGAGCTATCAGTTCACAGCTGGTATCTGCCGATGTAATTCGAATAAAAAAAAAGAAAGGAAAAAAAAAATAATCTAGCTGCCTCGGGCATAACTATCTGGTGATTTTTTTCATACAGGTCATGTTTCTAGCAATTTATATACAGGAATTCCATAATAGTTTTGATAGCTTTCTTCGGCAAATCTAAACGGTGGAACGCTGTCAAGAAACTTCACCTTTCACCTTCAACTTGACATGAGTCAGTCAGTCCAAGAAGGAGTAATATTTAACATTTAAAAAAATACAAGCGCTTCTTCAAAACAACCTCTCCATCAAGAACATTATGTACGCTTTTAAAAAATAGATCCGAAATTTAGTTTTGTGCTTTGAGTAAAAGTAAAATTACTTTTAAAATTAACAACATGAATTACACCAGGTAAAATACCCATATTATTCTCTTCGACCCACCTGTGTTGTGATTTAATGCAAGTAATAACAAATTTTGATCTTAAACTGAAATATTTAACTCTCACAAATAAAAAATGTTAACTTATCCTCACACTGTAAAAAAAAAATAAATAAATAAATAAATAAATAAATAAATAAATAAATAAATAATTAGTGAGGCATTGTCTTATAGGAAAATCTGACTAACTCATGCATCACTGGTATGATTTCCATTTTGATTATGTTACTAATTTTGAATAATAATATACAGGAATTGATAAAAGAGTATTTGAAAATTCGTCCCTGAAAGTTTTGTTGTTCATGTCCGAGCCCTATGGCTTTTCTAAAGATTATTTGTGACTGGGGTCAGGAGATAGGCTTGTTGTATGTTTTTAAAACCAATGGCGGGCCCTCCTTGGCCACTACTAAGGCCAGAAGTGCTGGTCACTTTATTGTAGGGGCACCCAATAGTTGGGCCACTTTGCCTCCTATGAAGGGAAGGACAGTTACAACCATGCCTTGTCCGGGATTCGAACCCGGGCCCTTTGGTATCGTAGTCGACGACCCTAACTTTTATACCGTCTAGGCGGCTGAATTGTTGCATTGAACATTTAACATATTGCTGTTTTGTTGCATAGACCTTGAGCAGCACAACGACAATACTGTTTTCATCTGTTGTGCCAGCAAACCTTACTTTTGTATTTAGAGTTTTTATGTACCACCTTTAAATGCAAAAAAATATCGATTAGCTAAAACTAAAAAGAGCCACATATAATTTGATCTTCTTATGCATTCGTTCCTATATTCTTAAAATTTTCACACATACCGTAAGAAAAATTTTTTTTTAATTGGATTAGGTACTTCTTCCTTCTATGATAACGTGATTACACGTAGGATGCTCTTCAAAATTCAGAAAAGAAGTCTCCTTTAGGTAATTTATTATAATTCTTCTTACAAAACTGCATACAGCATTCTTGAGCCGAACATTCAGTGTGGTATAATCGAACTTCATTTAGTAACATGTCAATTGAGAGTAAAAAGAATTACTCACTGTTCATTAAATTTTCGTCCTAAGTTTTTGATTCTCAAAATGGGGGTTTCTGAAATTTTCTGCAATGTTTCTCCTTTTTTTTTTTTAAAAAAAAAAAGTAGAGTTCTATTCTGATTAAAAGGTTTAAATAGACTTAGTCCGTTTGTAAGTTCTATTATTTTTACTCGTAGTTATTTTTATTTATTAGTCTTTTCTGTCTTCTTTTATTTCCCTCGCGTTTCCTGTCTAGTATGTAAGTGAGTTAGTGTGAACGAGAGTGTATTTAAACTGAAGTGGCGTAATTTTAGTTAGAGCGTGGTTTCGTTAATCTGAGCGCACGTTGTTAATTTCTAACAGCTGTTAACTTTGATTCTCGGCTTCACATTCTTGCCACCGAAATTACTATCAGCCTTGTAGTTTTTTTTCTCAGGATTCTCTCACAGTTGAAAATTTACAATAAGAAAAGTGAAAAAAGTGAAGCCAATTCAACGTACTATGAAGAAAATGTTTTACACCTGATATTTACAGTAGAAGTTCCATTCCTTTATACCAATGACTTTCAAACAGTGAAACACTATCAAGACAAAAACAGCAAATCATTCTTCGAAAAGCACCCCTGCATTCCTTGAAAAAATGAAGACTGATAGAGGTATTGTATATACATGAAATCCTCTGACGTTTCACCTATGGACTATTGTGGCTTTCGTCTCTTGACAACAGCTCTTTCTATGCGCATACACACAATGATTGATGAATTTTGGATAATAGTGAAAACGAAATACCAATACTCCTGGAAATTTTACGAAAAGCACTTCTGTCATGGACATCACGAGGCAGACATCTAGCCCAAAAAACAGGCTATGAGATCGAACATTTAAAAAAATACCCTTGGCATTTTAAACATTAATAAACGGCCCAGAAATCGTTCTAAAATGTGGAAACTCCCTTTGTAGACCTACAGGTTAACGTAGGAACTTGAATCACACGTTCTACTGCTGCAAGATCTCACGGTGTTCATCTTTATGCCAGAATGGCTTGTGTCCCTCTCTTTTCATCTTCCAGAGGGCCCCGTTTAAGGAAATGTCGTTTTGATGTTCAATGGAACCAAGAGGAAACAGACAGTATAGTACTACTTATTGACGATTCCAGTCCTAACATGATCTGTGATTCTAGACTTGTTTTTATCTGGCAGAGAGAAGAACAAGCAGCTTGTCTTTCGTTGTTCATGAAATATCCCGTTTCTACGAAGGCAATTCCATAGTTTGGAATGAAATCATCACAAGTTGCCTTACCGAACTGCTTGTCTTTGACGGATGTTTTACAATTGATTACAGATATGTGGACGAAATTTTACAACTCCGTGTAGTGTTTTTCAGGGGTACTGTTGGCAGAGAGTTTTGGAAATGGATCATATGCTCGTCCACATGCAGCATCTCTGGTATCAGAATATTTGGAGACAGTAGCTGACACTCAAATGCACTAGCCAGCTCTCTTACTTGATCCTGATCAAGTATACATTGGATACTTGATCATTGGATACTTGATCTTGATAATTGTAGGAAAGCTACCGAATTGTAGGAGACCAAATCCCTCCCCAGATCCTCCAGGATCTGATACCTGTACTTTCAAAAGAGTGTCATACAATGTCGCAACATCAAGAACTCAGTAAAATGCATTTAATTAAGATGTAAGGCTTCAGTTTCTGTCAGAGATGATCATGTACTCTACTGAAGAAAGATTTGTTGCAAAACAGTGGAAATCATTTTTTCCTATAAGTTTGAATCAAAGCACTATGTTTTGGATTGGATTGGATTATTCAGTTATGGCAAAGCACACGAGGGCTATCTGCCTAAAGGGAGGGATGCCTTTCGTGGAGGACTTTCCAAGGGAAACTGGCTCGTATACACGTTACACATGGGGAAAACCACGAAAACGCCCATGCAGCCAGCCCGTTCGCGGGATTCGAACCTCGGACCGAACTACCAGTGTTCAGCGTCTTTACCGCTCGGCCGCTGGTGGGCCACTATGTTTTGAGTTTAAGCTATAGGGTATTTCTCTCGCCTTCTTAGCTAGCCTTCGTGATGTGGTGGTCTGCACGCTTAGCGCGTAATGGCCCTATCACTTCTAGGGACGAGTGCGCTTACCCGGGACAATTCCGAGAAACGAGATTCTAGTAGCACTGCTTTAAGCGAGAGGCTTCCGAGAAATGTTTCGTCTAGCTAGGAGGAACATGTCCCGGCTACGAGCAACATTTTAAAACTTGTCCGAAAATGTTCCGGCTGGAGACGTGTTCCTCGAACGTTCAACCAATCAGACGAAAGTTCTGCTTCTGAAGGATCACGGGTAACTTTCAATATGGCGATGGCTCTCACTGTGAAGTTATGGACGGTGGAAATAGAAGCCGATTTAATTATTGCTGTTTTGTTGTAATACAACTGCCTGAGTCATTTTTTAAATGTGTATATATTCATTAAATATATAATCGTGAAAATTTCAGAGTTGACAGTATTTTACGACGTTCTTGGAGTTCGGATTTGTTTACAAATTGTTCGTCGCCAAATTTGTCGTATTTCGTGCTGATCGTGTATTATCACTGTTATATAATAGAATTTTATTTCTTAAATTTAAGTTGAATAATTTTTTTTAAATCCGTTTGTATATGCGCGGCTTTTCTCCTAATTACTTATCTTTTAAATTGTTAATTGCATAATCAGTGACACATTTTAAACAGCATAAAAGATGCATAAAAAAAGAAAAGTATAGCTTATGTAATAATGAGAATACTCATTAAATTTGTCTATTATTTTCATGTTATTAATGAAATACTTTTTGAATTATAAATACATTAGAAACTATACTTTTATTGTAAATGCTGCATATTGAAACATTGGAAATTTATGGATTTATTATTATGCATGATGAAAAACATTTGTATATTACATTCATTAATATAAATCTTATTCATTACATTAATACTAATAAACATATATTAACAACTTCTAAACCATCGCATCTCTCTATCTGTATGTAAATATACGACTTATTAGATGTGTATATATATGCATGTATGAATACAAAAATGAACTTTGCCAAGAAGTTTATTTGAAGTTACTTTTAACTCAGATAACGATTATGTAATTGGCAGCAATTATAGTTATCAGTTCTTTGCAAATTATTATGGGTATATAATAATCAGTTGAAAAATAATTGATGAGTATTTGAGTATTAAAGAGTACACATTTTGTTATTGGGTTAATTCATAATTATATCATATGTATGATCTACGTAATAAAAACATGACTAATAAATAATAAGAAATGTAATAGCTGTGCGTTTATAACATTTGATTACTTAAAACAGTGCACAACTGATTATCACCTTCATGTGTGTTTACATAATGAATTGCACTTTTCCAATTAAGTGCACGTTTTGTTGCCTAACTATAACTGGCCGAAGCGTCAT